GATGCGAGTAAATTTTTGAGTGTTTGAGAGAGTCTTTGATATCTCGAAGAGTCCCCTTGAAGTCTTAAAGGATGTCTTTGATGTCTCGAAGGATGTCTTTGAGTGCAACTTTGATTTCTTTGAGTAAGTCCTTGATGCCTCGAAGAGTGTCTTTGACTATATTTCTTACTTAACGACATATAATTTAGTTAGGAACAATGATGAATATGACTATTTTAGCGAAGTGAAAGGCTACTTTAGTTAGGAACAGTGTTGGAAAGAGGCTACACATGACTATTTTCAGATGAGAGAAGTAATATTTCAGTTAAGAAATGACAAGGAAACATGATGAAGCAACTATTTTTTAGTTGACTGATGAATACTTTAGTTAAGGAAAAAGACAAAACATGACGAGGGAGACTTTTTTGTGCTCCCCAAAGTATAATGTCAGTTAAGAACAGCGATGAAAGATATCTTTGGTTATTTTTTCTTACTTGACAAAACATAATTTTAGTTAAGCAAAAAGACAAAAACATGATGAACATGGCTTTTTCTGTTGATTGATGGATAATTTTAGTTATGAAATGACAATGAAACATGAAGAACACGGTTATTTTCTGATGACTGGGGAATAAGTTTTGTTAAGAAATGATGAAAGTTATTATTTTAGTTGATTGATGATGGATAAAAGCTAGTTATGAACAGTTTTGGAAAGTTTCCTTTGACAATTTTTTCTTACTTGATGAAACATAGCGGCTGTTAAGAAAGTGCTGAAAGAAGTTTCCTTTGACAATTTTTAGCTAAGAGAAAGGTTGTTTTAGTTAAGAACGGTGTTGAACGAGGCTATTTCTGACTATTTTTAGTTGACTGGATAATAAGTTTAGTTGAGAAATGACGAAAGTGACTATGTTTTTAGTTGATTGGTGAAAGATTTTTTTAGTTAAGGAACGGTAGATAACATGTAGGGGGAAAAACCCAGAGAACATATGGGGAACATGGCAAAGAACACATGTAAGAAAAGTTGATGAATACAGTGAACATGCTGGGAATATGAACTTACAGAGAACATGAAAACATGATAAGGAGAATAGGGAATACAAAGAATGAATAATGGACTTGTGAAGAACATGGAGAATATGACAAAGAATGTAGAAAACATGTAAGTGAAGGTGAAAAACGAAGTGATCTTGTGAGGAACATGAACTTGTAGAGGAACATGAATATTGACGAAGAACACAAAAATATGGAAGTTAGCATGAATATTGAGTATAAAAGTTGTAAAGAGAACATGTGATGAACATAAAAACATAAAAAATATGACTAGAATTTGTAGAGAACATGTGATGAACATGAAAACATAGAAAATATGACTAGAATTTGTAGAGAACATAATGAGACTAAGAGAAAGATTACAGAAAAAATGGAGATACTTGTGAAAATATGAACTGAATGGGACTGTGAACATTTGAAGAACATGGAGTGAACACGGATGAGAATATGAAGAACACAGTGAATATAGAGAAAATATGCAAATACAGTACGATTATTGAAGGTTTGGATAAGTTGGGGATGAGAAGGTAAGGGAGGGAAAGGGTAAGGTGAGATGAGATGAGATGGAGGAAGGTGGGAGGGGGTGAAAGATAATTACACAGGTTGGGGTTGTGTGTGTGTACTCGGATAAGAGATAGGCTGGAGACGGACTTGATCGAATATATTTATGTCTGATGATCTAAGGCTGAGGAAATGGAGCTTGGCTAATGTCCAGATTAATTTTACTACGTTAGAAAATAAGGTGATTTTAAATCTCAGGGTGATTTAGTTGGAAAATAAAGAACTTGTACAAAATGAACTAAGCTGGGGCACAAGAGTTGAAACTTGATAACTGAACTGGTTTTTATTTACTATGTCTGAAAATGTAGTTGGGTGTTTAAATCTCAGGGGGATTTGGACTGATAGTAATGAATTTACATGAGTGAACTTGGACAGAGGACAAGAGCTAGAGTTTTATAATTGTTTACTTCATATTTACTATGTCTGAAATACAGAGGGTAAAAATTTCAGGGAAATTGATGGGATATTTACAAATATACGAGAGCGAACTAAGGCGGGGGATGAGAGCTGGAGCTCGATAACTGTTTTGATCTTATTTACGGAGCCTGAAAATACAGAGGGTAAAAAATTTCAGGGGAATTGATCTGTTACTAACGATCTTGTACAATGAACTAAGGTGGAGGACGAGAGCTGGAGCTCGATAACTTACTTGATTTTATTTACGGTGTCTGAAATACAGAGGGTAAAAAATTTCAGGGGAATTGATCTGTTACTAATGATTTTGTACAAATGAACTAAGGTGGAGGACGAGAGCTGGAGCTCGATAACTGTTTTGATCTTATTTACGGTGTCTGAAATACAGAGGGTAAAAATTTCAGGGAAATTGATGGGTTATTTAAAAAGATACGAAAGAGAACTAAGGCGGGGACGAGAGCTGGAGCTCGATAACTGTTTTGATATTATTTACTATGTCCGAAATACAGAGAGTATAAATTTCACGGAATTTGATAGGATATTACTGAAGACACGCGAGGGGAGTAAGGTGGGGTACGAGAGCTGCAGCTCGGTAATGGACTTGATCTTATTTACTGTGTCTGAAATACAGAGGATTTAAATTTCAGGGAATTTGGACTGTTACTAACGATTTTGTACAAATGAACTAAGCTGGGGACTAGAGCTAGAGTTTGATAATTGTTTGCATTTACTAAACTGTGTCTGAAATACAGCGGGTAGAAATTTCGGGGAATTTGAATAGGTATTAACGAAGATACGAGAGAGAGCTAAGGCGGAGGACAAGCGCTGGAGCTCGGTAACTAAATTACTGTATTGAAATACGTTTGAAATATGATTATTTTTAAATTTTAGAGGGATTGGAATGATAGTATTCATTATACGACAGGGGACTAAGGCAGGGAACGTGAGCTAGAACTTGCTTACTAACATAATTTATTTGTGTAAAACTGAGTTGCTTAATGAAAAGGAGCAAACATATAATGTCAGAAAATAGCTGAACTGAATGAAAGGAGAGAGAGAGAGAGTGCAGGGACGGTCCAGATATTATGGAGAAGATAAGATAAGATATGATAAGAGGCGACCTACAAGAAGCATCTGGCTGATGTCTAAAGTAATCACAGGTGAGGCGACAGATTGCTATTTCTCCCATAAGCCCTTAACAAACTTCTAAGTCTCGGAAATTATTTTTATCATAAGAAATCCTTACTTCTGAAATATGTGACTGACAAAATTTACCTGAAAACCCAGACACGATATTTCACAGAAAAAAAAAAAATTACCTGTGAGTTGTACATCGCACAGGGGTCCTCTGGCCAAAAAAAAAATTACCTGTGAGTCGTACGACTCACAGGGGTCCTCTGGCCAAAAAAAAAAAATGACCTGTGAGTCGTACACCCTACTACTCAGAGGAGGAGGGTATGGTGCAGATTAGGAGGGTAGTGGTGCAGAGGAGGAGGAGAGTAGTGGTGCAGAGGTGGAGGAGGGTAGTGGTGCAGAGGAGGAGGGTAGTGGTGCAGAGGTGGAGGAGGGTAGTGGAGCAGAGGAGGAGGAGGGTAGTGGTGCAGAGGAGAAGGGTAGTGGTGCAGATGTGGAGGAGGGTAGTGGAGCAGAGCCAGATACCATAAACCACCACAACCTCAACCACCATTAACAATAACCACCACTATCACTAATCACAACCATTAGCCACCACAATTACCAACCACAGCAATAAACCACCACCACCACCAACCACAACTATTAACCACCACTAGAACCAACCACTACCACCAACAATAAACATCACCCACCGCTGCCACCAGTCACAACCTACCACCACTGCCACCAACCACAACCCAGCAACAATTCCACCACCACTACCATGGATTCTCCATTAAGTGAAAGTAATGAATAAAATATTTTTAGTCTACCTTTTATTATGCTTCAGTTTTATTTCTAGAATATGTAGAAATATATTTTTAATATATTTCTAATTTTTTTATATATATTCCATCAATCAGGAAAACGATTTTTATGCAACATTTAAGGTTGCGACACGGTCTCAAAATTGTTTAGCCAAAGTTGTGCAGTAAGTTGTGGCAACTTATTCACAACCACACAATAACGTAGCTAATACATGAAAACAAACGTTGTCACACCTGGCTACTCTCCCGACCCACACCTGTAGATGAGAGGGAACACGGAAGCCCACACCTGGCTACTCTCCCGACCCACTCCTGCAGAAGAAGCGCCACACCAGCATATTCTCCTCATGCAAACCTGCATCAAAGAGTAAATACTGAATTCTACAGCTGGGACCACTGCCAGCGCCCACTTGCAGATGAGACGGAACAGTAAACCAACACCTGTCTCCTTCACACCTGATTACTTTCCCCACTCACACCTGCAGATGAGAGGGAAAACTGGAGTAACTCTCCAGGAAACACCTGGTAACTCTCCACCCCACACTTGCACATGAGAGGGGACACTGATGCCTACACCTGCTACTCTCCCTCCCCACACCTGCAGATGGGAAGGAACACGGAAACCCACACCTGGCTACTCCCCCGACCTACACCTGTAGATGAGAGGAAACACGGAAGCCCACACCTGGCTACTCTCCCGACCCACACCTGCACATGAGAGGGAACACTAAAGCCCACACCTGGCTACTCTCCCCACCCACACTTGTTTATGTCACACACTCATGCCAAAGAAAACTTATATCAAGTAAATCTAGCTTGTATTAAGCAAGACAATGTTGGGCTAAATATTGATCAGTGTTATCTTATAAGCAGTGAAGCTTGCTTAATGAATATTCTTGGTCGCTAAACGGTGCTCAAAGTTACTCAAGTAGCATTATAAGTTCTCTAATTCATGACTTTTAATGTAAAAATATTTTTGAAACCGCTGGAAGCACTGTGAATTAAACAACTGAGTTACAGATATTCACGTGTTAAAATGTCGTCAATACGTACTGGTGAGACGCGTGTCAAGGAACCACAGGTCACTATACCCTCCTCTTGAGAAAGGACACAGCTGAGCCGCCAGGTGGCAGCACCAGTCTATGGCGGGGTCGTCATCATTGAGGCGCCGCGTGATGGTCATGCGGAGCGTCCTTCCCTGGCACGGCAGACTGCCCAGTGTGTCCGGGACCACGTAGCCCGTGGCGTCCAGGGTGTCAAGGTCCACGTAGCCCGTGGCGTCCAGGGTGTCCGGGTCCACGTAGCCCGTGGCGTCCAGGGTGTCCGGGTCCACGTAGCCCGTGGCGTCCAGGGTGTCCGGGACCACGTAGCCCGTGGCGTCCAGGTCAATGTCTGAAGACATACTTTGAGATACAGTCACTGTCGTTACTGGTATGTTCTAAGATATAACAAGAAGACATACTGAGTCATCCACTCACCTTACTGCTGGGTTTATTACCTGATGACAAGTCCGTATTTTGGACAGTATTAATAGCATCTAAACTATGTATTAATAGCTTTTAAAAGCCACGGTCAAGGTCATCTGTATCAATGGTCAAGGTCATCTGTATCAATTGTCAAGGTCACAGTCAAGGTTACCTGTATCAATTGTCAAAGTTATCTGTATCAATGGTCAAGGTCATCTGTATCAATTGTCAAGGTCACAGTCAAGGTTACCTGTATCAATTGTCAAAGTTATCTGTATCAATGGTCAAGGTCATCTGTGTCATGGTCAAGGTCATCTGTGGCAATGGTCAAGGTCATCTGTATCAATGGTCAAGGTCATCTGTGTCAATGGTCAAGGTCACAGTCAAAGTTACCTGTATCAATTGTCAAGTTTATCTGTATCAATGGTCAAGGTCATCTGTGTCAATGGTCAAGGTCATCTGTGTCAATGGTCAAGGTCATCTGTGTCAATGGTCAAGGTCATCTCTGTCAATGGTCAAGGCCATCTGTGTCAATGGTCAAGGTCATCCGTGTCAATAGTCAAGGTCATCTGTGTCAATGGTCAAGGTCATCTGTGTCAATGGTCAAGGTCATCTGTGTCAATGGTCAAGGTCATCTCTGTCAATGGTCAAGGCGATCTGCGTCAATGGTCAAGGTCATCTGTGTCAATGGTCAAGGTCATCTGTATCAATGGTCAAGGTCATCTGTGTCATGGTCAAGGTCACAGTCATGGCCATCTGTATCAATGGTCAAGGTCATCTGTATCATGGTCAAGGTCACAGTCATGGTCATCTTTAGCAATGGTCAAGTTCGCATTAGAAGGTCATATAAACTAAGTCAAGGTCACAGTGAAAGGTCATCTGGACCAAGTATCAAGGTCACAGTGAAAGGTCATCTGGACCAAGTATCAGGGTCACAGGGATAGATGGGTCACCTGAATTAAGGATCAAAGTTATGGAAGGTCTAATTAACCAAGGGATCAAGGTCACAGTGAAAGGTCATCTTGGACAGGAATTATTTCAGTGTGAAAGGTCATCTTGAACAGGAATTAGGTCACACTGAAAGGTCATCTTAAACAGGAATTAGGTCAGTGTGAAAGGTCATCTTGAACAGGAATAGGTCAGTGTGAAAGGTCATCTTGAACAGGAATTAGGTCACAGTGAAAGGTCATCCTGAACAGGAACTAGGTCACAGTAAAAGGTCATCTTAAACAGGAATTAGGTCACATTAAAGGTCATCTTGGACAGGAATTAGGTCACAGTGAAAGGTCATCTTGAACAGGAATTAGGTCACAGTGAACAGGTCATTTTGAACAGGAATTATTTCAGTGTGAAAGGTCATCTTGAACAGGAATTAGGTCACAGTAAAAGGTCATCTTAAACAGGAATTAGGTCACAGTGAAAGGTCATCTTGAACAGGAATTAGGTCACAGTGAAAGATCATCTTGAACAGGAATTAGGTCACATAGAAAGGTCATTTTGAACAGGAATTAGGTCACACTGAAAGGTCATCCTGAACAGGAATTAGGTCACAGTAAAAGGTCATCTTGAACAGGAATTAGGTCACAGTAAAAGGTCATCTTGAACAGGAATTAGGTCACAGTAAAAGGTCATCTTGAACAGGAATTAGGTCACAGTGAAAGGTCATCCTGAACAGGAATTAGGTCACAGTGAAAGAAATCTTGAACAGGAATTAGGTCACAGTGAAAGGAGATCTGTACCACGCGTCAAAGTCAAAGTGGTAAGTCATCTGAACCAAAAGTTTGGCGTCGCTAAATACTTCATGAAATTATTTATACACAAGAATATATACAGCAGCGGAACGTTTCGAAAATTTATTATTCATGGAGTAGTTGCCCTTAATAAGTCTATATTTGTAATCAAAGTAGAAGGTTTGTCATCCTTAAGGTGACTATATTTGTAAACAATGTAAGGGGGTTGTCTCCCTTAAGGTGACTATATTTGTAAACAAAATAAGATATTTGTCGCTCTTAAGGTAACTATATTTGTAAACAATGTTGGGAGCTTCTCGCCCTAAGGTAACTATTTTTGCAAACAATATCAGGTGTTTGTCGTCCATAAGATGATTATATTTGTAAACAATATAAGGTGTTTGTCTCCCTTAAGGTGATTATGTTTGTAAACAATATAAGGAATCTTTCATCCATAAGGTTGTAAACATATATGTAAACAATGTAAATCTGAATTACTATATTAAACATGACGAATGAAGCCCTTTGCGTAATTTTGGTATTAATAAATAACCCTAAAAATTATGGTGGGAAAAAAAGAATATTTACCAAGAGTCTGCAGGTGAGGAAGGTGAGACAGGTGACGGATGAGGACGGGCAGTTGCTGTAGTGTGAGGCGCAGGTGGAGGCTCTCGAGGGTGTGAGGCAGGAGGGGTATGGCTGCCTCAGGCAAGACACCATCAAACTCCTCTAAGATACACTTACTGTCGGGGGCTGTCAGCCTCTCCATACATTGATTTGTTATAACAATTCTCTCTTTCCTGTATAAACTATAGTGAAGAACTAAGGATATGGTTACCTTCATTTTTGCCAGCACTGACAGTGTAGACAGACACTGCTTTAGTTGGGGTGTATCGCTTATTCTTAGGTAAATGTTCTTAGGTGTCACCTTCTTAAGAACAAGCGGCAGGACAACACACGAGTCAACACTCCATATTATCCACTTTCGTTCTGTACGCAGCTTCTCACACACGGCTTGGATGACGTGTTCACTCCCGCGGGACTCTGCTACATGCTTCAACAGCTCGTCAGGCTCAGGTGTAACCATCTCGCACAGGTCAATTATGTGAGTAATGAACATGTGCTCTACTCCCCGGGCACACAGCACCCCGGTAATGCTGAGTAAAATGTTCTGCCATCTGGAGCGCTCATTAAACTCTTGTTGCACGTCGCTAATATTAAACTTTGACCCTCTCAGGTGATCTCCCAAGGAGCGTTTTTCCTTACGTACAACATCCACCAAGAGGTCAATGATTATAGACCTTTCCCCTGACACACGGTGTGATGCTGGATCACCTCGTTCTTGCTCAGCCCTCAACAAGAGATCGACCAGCCTCCTGCTGGCACAATACTCGTGGTACCTGGCGTGAAAATAGCCAATCACCCACACCACAACATCCACCAAGAGGTCAATGATTTTAGAGCATTTCCCTGATACACGGTGTGATGCTTGATCACCTCGGTCTTGCTCAGCCCTCAACAAGAGATCGACCAGCCCCCTGCTGGCACAATACTCCTGGTACCTGGCGTGAAAATAGCTAAACACCCACACCACATTGAGGCCCCGACGGTAGCTGGTTCTTGTGAAATAGTTGGACAAGACCTCGTCCTGCGGCAGTCCCAGAGTGTCACACTTCTCCCTAATCTCCGCTTCCGTCTCCGGCCAAAGGTCGTACTCCTGCCTCTGGATCCCTCTTAAACTAATCTCTTCTAAGAACCTCAAAAACTTTTTCACATTTTCGTCACATTTTCCTTTGGGTTCGGTCACGTGTTTGGCTGTGAGTCTGGACACCAGTTTGTTGGTTATGAAGTCATGAATCTTCTCGTAGACTTGAGTGTTTGTGGTGAGGTTGTTAAATTCTTCTGGAGCCTCGACACACAGCAGCGCCAACAAGGTCAAGGTGAGTGGAGTGTTGAGGTACTCACCCAGGAACTCACTCATCTGCTCCAGCCGCTGGGTAAACCTCCCTGTGATGTCACTCCGTTGGCACTCTTCCTCCACCAGCACCTTGATGGTTCTCTCGGCGAACTCCACGCGACGTTCTGGAGTGATGCCCAAGACGAGGATGTTGCAGCGAGGTCTGGTGTGTGGGACGAGCTGTGACAGGTGTTGGTCCCACCCCGGCCGTGTGGTTATCACCAACCTCACATCCTTGCCAGGCAGGTGCAACAGCTCCTTCACCAGCCTTCCTGAATGGTCGTTGACCTCGTCGTAGCCGTCAATCAGGACTAATATTTTTAAGCTCAAGATTATCTCCTTAAACAGCTGTAAATCAGCATCAAAATCACTAAGTGTTTGAGGCAGTAACTGGTGGAGGAGATCATCGAAGGTATTAAGATGTGTGTCCCTGCACTGTACATAGAAAACGAGGTCCACAGTGCCCAGGTGACGTATGGCAGCAGGGTCCTCTACCCACTTCTCGAGGATGAGCTTGAGTAAAGTTGTCTTGCCCATACCACCTTCCCCCGTCAGGAGGACACACTGAGGGACTCTTCCGTCGTCTCGTCTCATACTCCAGATGTCTTCATAGTTTATATCCTGACTCTTGGCCGCATGGGAGGGTCTTGCCCATATGAAGGGATTTTCAAGGAGTCGCAGTCGTGTAAAAGCAAGACTTGGGTTGTAGTTAATGTTGAGGAGGAGCCAGGGTGCGGGAACAATCTGGTACAGCAGTTTATACCCGTCAGTTAGCTCCTGCTTGCTCATCTGCTTAACCTCTTCTGTGATGTGGCTTCTGAACACCTTAATCTCCTGGCGGAGCTGAGGCAAGTACGCCACATCTGAGGGATCCAGCGGCTCTCTGACCTTCGCTAGCAGATCACCAATATACTTGGTGACATCTCTGGTCACGTGGTCCACATCCTGGCTGTTTGTCCCACACCGGACGCCGGCCTCAGCCAGCATCTTAGCCAATAAGTCACTGAGCTCCGTCAGTGTTGACGTAAGATCTTGCTCTGACATTCTCACATTATCATGGGCCAACGTGTTTCGGTGTTGCTTCAGGCTGTAAATGAGGTGTTCAAGTGATGGTCCCTGAGGCCCTGGAGTGGTCCACGTGGGGTCATTCATCTCAGCCAGACCACACATACGTTGCAGGAGTTTATACAACAGGGTGATGTCAAAAGTTGCCGCGTCAGAGGAAGCTTCGAGTTTATCCCTCTGGTGATCATCGAAGACACGCCTGTACTGAGCATTGGTGTACCCCAAGTCCTGAGTGAGGTAAGTCACTACTGGGAAGGTGCCCCGGTACGACCACATAAACACACTTGCTAGCGCGTCTCGTCCTGCCTTAGTCACAGCCAGTCCATACCGCAGTCTGTTCACATCTTCCGGTTGGATAACAGGACTCGAGGCCGCCATATTGGGCCGTATGATTCTCACCTCACACAACTGTTGTCAAGTTTCACACAAGCAGTAAATGTCCCACGCTGGTTTTGTTATTATATTATGTTTAAAAACATAACATGTTTCCCACTGTCGGAGACGGGCAGCTTGTTAGGCTTATGTTGGCCTTCCTAAGCCAACGACAGACCTTCCTCAGGATGCATCCCTCAACAGTTGACTAATTTCCAGGTTAATATTTACTGCTAGGTGAACAGAGGTATCAGGAGGCTGAGCATCTCACACTGCCAGGGAATCAAACTCGGACCTAATCGGTAATGATCCGACTCCTCTAACCACAATACAGTCACTTAATTGACCAAAAATATAAGTGATTTCCAAATAAACCAAATTTTACTAAATGTGTTCACATGTTAATGCAATATTCGGTTCCAGCTTTATTTGTTATTTTCAATTTGTTCTTTAACTAGTTAATTTCTTCTGCCTTTATACTCATCAGATTTCTGTCATCTGGAAGAACAATTTAACGTTATTAAAACAAGATGTTAGTGTTAAACATTGGGTCAAAAATACATTTTTGAGATCACTAAAACAAATAAAATTCCAAAGTCTGCCTCCTATATTTTGTTTTATTTTATAACTTAAAACATGTCAATATTTTGACATAACTCCTGTGATCATTGTGGTGTTGGCTTCTGGTTTAGGTAGAGTAATGGTGCTCATTTTCTCACCCAGAAATATACGGTATAGCATTTAGTAATGTTATTCTCTGCCTTTATCTTGCTCTTGTAAGGACCTATTTAGATTATGCAGTTCAGTTTGGTCAACATACAATATACTGGACATAATTTAACTTGAACCCATAAAGAGAAGAATGACAAAGTTGATCTCAGGAATTAGAAATCTCCCTTATTAAGAGAGATTAAGGAAGCTATGTTTACACATTCTTCGAAAAGTATAGTTGATATTATTGATGTTGTCAAAAGGATGAAAAGTTATATCAAAGGTAATAATAATAAGTTGTTAACTATATTAACACAAAAGAGAACAAGAAATTATATATCTGTATCAATAGAACTTAATGTCTGTCTATGCGAGGTTGAAGACCAGACCCAGGAAGCTAGCCTCACCAAATTTCTAACAGTAATTCCTTCTGGGTATGCACCCAACAGGGCACATACCCAGCAGGTATGTGTTACCCACATACTCGCATGTATTTAGCGAGTACAACTTTGCACGGTGCCAAAGCTACCTCCTACGACGAACTTTGCTATACCATATTAATTGGGCTTTGAATTATTTATTTTCTTGCAAGGGTTCCCATCTGAGCTTCTGTGTAGATCGCCCTCTCCCCCTCCGCTCTCTAGTGTACAATATTCACAGTATAATGTTAACAACTTACATGGAGTTTACTACAAGTAAACTTCCGTCCCCTGAGAGTCTCTCATAGGAGCAATAATGGCGGGTCACCTAGAGGCTCATACAAGGGACACCTAAAGGCGAACAGAGGAACCTTCTAGAGGCGCACAAAGAGGCCACCTAGAGGCATGTAAAGAGGCCGCCTAGAGGCACATAAAAGTTCACTTAGAGGCGCATAAAGAGACCACCTAGAAGAACATAAAGAGGCCGCCTAGAGGCACAAAAAGGGCCAGCCAAAGGCGCATAAAGAGGCCACCTAGAGGAAATTAAGAGGCCGCCTAGAGGAACATAAAGGGGCACCAAGAGGCACATAAAGGGGCACCTAGAGACACATAAAGAGAAAACCTAGATGCACATAAAGAGGCCGCTAAGAAGTCCATAAAAGGGCCGCCTAGAGGCACATAAAGAGGCCACTAAGAAGTCCATAAAAGGGCCGCCTAGAGGTCCATAAAAGGGCAGCCTAGAGGCACATAAAAGGCCGCCAAGAGGCACATAATGGAGCCACCTAGAGGCACATAACGGGGCCGCCTCAAAGCACATAAAGGGGCCGCTTAGAGGCTCATAAAGGGGCAGCCTAGAGGCACATAAAGGGGCCGCTTAGAGGCTCATAAAGGGGCAGCCTAGAGGCACATAAAGGGCCAGCCTAGAGGCTCATAAAGGGGCCGCCTAGAGGCACATAAAGGGCCGCCAAGAGGCACATAAAGGGCCACCTAGAGGCACATAATGGGGCCGCCTAGAGGCACATAAAGGGGCCGCCTAGAGGCACATAAAGGGCCACCTAGAGGCACATAATGGGGCCGCCTAGAGGCACATAAAGGGGCCACATAGAGGCACATAAAGGGCCGCCTAGAGGCACATAAAAAGGCCGCCTAGAGACACATACAGGGGCCGCCTAGAGGCACATAATTGGCCGCCTAGAGGCATATAAAGGGGCCGCCTAGAGGCATATAAAGGGCCGCCTAGAGGCATATAAAGAGGCCGCCTAGAGGCACATAAAGGGGCCGCCTAGAGGCACATAAAGGGCCGCCAAGAGGCACATAAAGGGCCACCTAGAGGCACATAATGGGGCCGCCTAGAGGCACATAACGGGGCCACCTAGAGGCACATAATGGGGCAGCCTAGAGGCACATAAAAATGTCACCTTGAGGCACATAAAAAGGCCGCCTAGAGGCACATAAAGAGGCCGACTAGAGGCACATAAAGGGGCCTCCTAGAGGCACATAAAGGGCCGCCTAGAGGCACATAAAATAGCCGCCTAGAGGCACATAAAGGGGCCGCCTAGAGGCACATAAAGGGCCGCCTAGAGGCACATAAAGAGGCCGCCTAGAGGCACATAAATGGGCCGCCTAGAAGCACATAAAATGCCGCCAAGAGGCACATAAAGGGCCACCTAGAGGCACATAATGGGGCCGCCGAGAGGCATATAAAGGGGCCGCCTAGAGGAACACAAAGGTGCCGCCTAGAGGCACATAAAGGGCCGCCTAGAGGCACATAAAGGGCCGCCTAGATGCACATAAAGAGCCGCCTAGAGGCACATATAGGGGCCGCCTAGAGGCACATAAAGGGGCCACCTAGAGGCACTTAAAGGGCCGCCAAGAGGTATATAAAGGGCCGCCTAGAGGCACATAAAGAGACCGCCTAGAGGCACATAAAGGGGCCGCCTAGAGGTACATAAAAGTGCTGCCTAGAGGTACATAAAGGGGTCGCCTTGAGGCACATAAAGGGGCCGCCTAGAGGCACATAAAGAGGCCACCTAGTGGTACATAAAGGGGCCACCAAGAGGTACATAAAGGGACGTATAGAGGTACATAAAGCGGCCGCTTAGAGGCATATAAAGGGCCGCCTAGAGGCACATATAGGGGCCGCCTAGAGGCACAAAAAGGGCCGCCTAGAGGCACATAAAGGGGCCGCCTAGAGGCACATAAAGAGGCCGCCTAGAGGCACATAAAGAGGCCGCCTAGAGGCACATAAAGAGGCCGCTTAGAGGCACATAAAGGGGCCGCCTAGAGGCACATAATGGGGCCACCTAGAGGCACATAAAGGGGCCACCTAGAGGCACATAATGGGGCAGCCTAGAGGCACATAAAAATGTCACCTTGAGGCACATAAAAAGGCAGCCTAGAGGCACATAAAGGGGCCGCCAAGAGGCACATAAAGAGGCCGCCTAGAGGCACATAAAGGGGCCACCTAGAGGCACATAAAATGGCCGCCTAGAGGTACATAAAGGGGCCGCTTAGAGGCACATAAAGGGCCGCCTAGAGGCACATATAGGGGCCGCCTAGAGGCACTTAAAGGGCCACCTAGATGTACATAAAGGGCCGCCTAGAGGCACATAAAGGGCCGCCTAGAGGTACATAAAGGGCCGCCTAGAGGCACATAAAGAGCCGCCTAAAGGTACATAAAGGGCCGCCTAGAGGCACATAAAGTGGCCGCCTAGAGATACATAAAGGGGTCACCTAGAGGTACATAAAGGGGCCGCCTAGAGGCACATAAAGGGGCCGCCTAGAGGCACATAAAGGGGACCACCTAGTGGCACATAAAAAGGCCGCCTAGAGGTACATAAAGGAGCCGCCTAGAGGCACATAAAGGGGCCGCCTAGAGGCACATAAAGGGCCGCCTAGAGGCACATAAAGGGCCGCCTAGAGGCACATAAAGGGCCGCCTAGAGGCACATAAAGGGCCGCCTAGAGGCATATAAAGGGCCGCCTAGAGGCACATAAAGGGGCTGCCTAGAGTCACATAAAGGGCTGCCTAGAGGTACATAAATGGCCGCCTAGAGGCACATAAAGGGGCTGCCTAGAGGCACATAAAGGGGCCGCCTAGAGGTACATAAATGGCCGCCTAGAGGCACATAAAGGGCCGCCTAGAGGCACATAAATGGGCCGCCTAGAGGTACATAAAGGGCCGCCTAGAGGCACATAGAAGGGCCGCCTAGAGGCACATAAAGTGGCCGCCTAGAGGTACATAAAGGGGTCACCTAGAGGTACATAAAGGGGCCGCCTAGAGGCACATAAAGGGGCCGCCTAGAGGCACATAAAGGGGACCACCTAGTGGCACATAAAAAGGCCGCCTAGAGGTACATAAAGGAGCCGCCTTGAGGCACATAAAAGGGCCGCCTAGAGGCACATAAAGGGGACCACCTAGAGGCACATAAAAAGGCCGCCTAGAGGCACATAAAGAGGCCACATAGAGGCACATAAAGAGGCCGCCTAGAGGCACATAAAGGGGCCGCCTAAAGGCACATAAAGAGACCGCCTAGAGGTACATTAAGGGGCCCGCCTACAATCACATAATGGGGCCGCCTAGAGGCACGTAAAGGGGCCGCCTAGAGGCACATAAAGCGGCCGCCTTGAGGCACATAAAGAGGCCACATAGAGGCACATAAAGAGGCCGCCTGGAGGCTCCTAGAGGAGCCACCTAGAGGCACATAAAGGGCCGCCTAGAGGTACAAAAAGGGCCAGCCAAAGGCGCATAAAGAGGCCACCTAGAGGAAATTAAGAGGCCGCCTAGAGGAACATAAAGGGGCACCAAGAGGCACATAAAGGGGCACCTAGAGACACATAAAGAGAAAACCTAGAGGCACATAAAGAGGCCGCTAAGAAGTCCATAAAAGGGCCGCCTAGAGGCACATAAAGAGGCCACTAAGAAGTCCATAAAAGGGCCGCCTAGAGGTCCATAAAAGGGCAGCCTAGAGGCACATAAAAGGCCGCCAAGAGGCACATAATGGAGCCACCTAGAGGCACATAACGGAGCCGCCTCAAAGCACATAAAGGGGCCGCTTAGAGGCTCATAAAGGGGCAGCCTAGAGGCACATAAAGGGGCCGCTTAGAGGCTCATAAAGGGGCAGCCTAGAGGCACATAAAGGGCCAGCCTAGAGGCTCATAAAGGGGCCGCCTAGAGGCACATAAAGGGCCGCCAAGAGGCACATAAAGGGCCACCTAGAGGCACATAATGGGGCCGCCTAGAGGCACATAAAGGGGCCGCCTAGAGGCACATAAAGGGCCACCTAGAGGCACATAATGGGGCCGCCTAGAGGCACATAAAGGGGCCACATAGAGGCACATAAAGGGCCGCCTAGAGGCACATAAAAAG